CCCCAAAACCCCAAAACCCCAAAACCCCGTGGTGTTTAAGGTTGAAGTTCAATTGAGATTAATTTATTCTTAGCTCGAACTATTTAAATTAATTTTTTAGTACATTCATCAGAATATAAAACTAAAACAAAATCTAAACATCTAAATGGCACAAAATTACATGATCTCAGATAGTCGAATAGTTAATTTGGATGAAATCTAGGATATCAAGGATATTATACTTTGTGGAATATGCTTTCAAGTTGTAACAGAGGAAAGAGAACCAGTTGAATGTAATAATTGCCATTACAAATTATTTTGTTCTCAATGCATTTCGGGGTGGGCTAAAACGAGCTATAGCTGTCCATATTGCCATTCTTTCAATTCTCAATTCGTTGACATCTCTCCACTGCTTCTAAATATGATTAGAGGCATAAGATACTCCTGCTAGTATCAAAGCAAGGGTTGTTGGGAAACTCACTCAATGAAAACTCTAATGAAACATGAATTTCAATGTAACTATGGAGTTGAAGAAAATGATAGTCAACTTAAATTATCAAAATGTGGTTTTTGTCTTAAAGCACTTCCCAGCAATCTAGACTATTTTGATGAGAATTAATCTTTATTGCAATAGCAATTAAATTCCAATGAATGACATTTTTGTGAGGAAGTTGAAAAAACATGGTGCCATAGGCATAGAGAAATTGGAATGAGGTATGATGAAAGTAGAATAGCAAATTTAGAGGAGAATTAAAGATACTTTGAAATGTTCAAATGTAGTCTTTGCCAACGACTACTTAGAAATCCATAGTCGTGTAATACCTGCAAGATAAACTACTGTAAGCACTGTATCTCAAACCAGTTGATTTAGAGAAATGCCTGCCCCTCATGTTATCAGCCAAATCCAACTTACTCTAAAATATCTAGAAATTTGATGGAATTACTAAGTAAATTCAAGATCTACTGCAAAAATAAGGAATAAGGCTGCAATGAAATATTGCTTTACGAATTTGTTGAGAATCATGAGAATACTTGTAAATAATGCTTAAATTGTAAAGTCAAATGCCTCAAATGTGAATAATTGATACTGATCGAAGATTAGTCCTCTCATTAGTGTCAAATCAAACTGAACTAAGTTTAAGATGCAATATATGTTGCCCCTGTCCTTGAGGCCTTAGATGAACCATTGATAAATAACTTAGGTGATAACGATAATTAAAATGAATAGTATCAGGATTAGAGACAAAGAATGTCATATTGCAAAAGAATAGATAATGACACACAGATGTATGTATCAAAATGCCCTTCTATTCTAACTATAATAATTATGCTTATTGATTTTGTAGTTCAGAATGCATTGCTGATATTCTATATACTGTACTATATATTTGAAGACTTTATCAATGAATCCACTAGAAGAGCACATCTTGCTTTTACCATTATCTACTTCATTGGGACTTTAATACCATTTTTTTCTTCAATATATACTCCAATCAATTATGTCTAGACTCAAAACACAAAGCTTATCCTGATAATTGGTGGCTTGCTGTCAGCTCATCACTTATTAATTATATTCGGCCCATTAGTCTCTGGATTTAGATTTTTTCATTACAATCTGAGAGGTAGAATTATAGGGAATACTGTTTACAGAAACGTTTCTTAGATTATTATTCAAATCACATTCATTACTATTTTAGCTATTAATGAAGTCGACACTACAATAAAAGGAGTAACTATTGGTCTAAGTAGCTTATAGATTTTGTGGAATGTAATTGTCATTATTACTATCAATTTTAACGAATTGTCTTTTTATTGAATAAAAACTTGGCTAAGATATTAAATTTATGATTTCTTAAAACTTTTCTAAATTTAATTTCTTTAACTTAACCCATTACAATATATATTTGGGGTTTTGGGGTTTTGGGGTTTTGGGG